ATTTCACTTAACAGCAATTTTCCTGGAACAGATTATCGTCGTCAAGCGGGGCACCACTGTAATTTCAGAAGGAGGATGGACAAAGGCCTCTGATTAAGATTCAAAGCCTCTTACTATCCAGGGTTTGGATCTGAAAAATTGGAAATAACTTCACCCCTTCCAGTTGTTGTTAGTAAAGAACACAAATACATGCAGAGTTCTGTCAGGGTTCAGCAATAGGGTCTTGTTGTTTTGCAGTGATTTCAGGCAACACAGACTGCAGTAAAAATTGTGGAACATTTATTTGTGCATCAAGCAATAAGTAAGTGTCCTGAACTGGTGAGCGTGTTTTCTCTCCTTCCCCCAACGGGTCAGGAAGGCGTTTCCAGCCATCAAATACAAAAGGGTTGCTATAAGTATTGTTCCAAGGTCCCAGTAACTCAGGGGGTGTCCATCCCTTCAGGGTCATCCCCGACAGAGCATCAAGCATGGGCACGGCCTCATCCTCATCGAAATCGTCTCACTGGGCACCTCTCTCTTGCGCCAAGCCCTCCCAATTCGTTCTCTCTCTGCCAGCCTCCTCATCTCCGTGGCTCTTCATTCGATCCTCTCCTTTCCCTGACTACCCATTCTTTCTCCTCTCTTAACTTTCTTCTCCACGCTCTTGCTTCAGCTTCTCCCCAATAAGAGGGTCGTGGTGGGATCTCCGTCCACCACCTATAATCCGCTTTCTCTTTAGGTATCCTCAGTCTCTCTCCTTTTTGTGTCCACGGGTCTTGCATCCACATCCACTCCCAACCAAGAGGCAACTGATTCTCCTCTCTCCTCCTGTCCCCGCTTCTATCTTCTCCTTTCTCCCTCTTCTTTCCCTCTTTCTGACCCATATTCCTTTATTCCCAACCCCCTCAGTCCCTCTGTCATCGCCTCTACTTCTGTCCCCGGCAAGACTCCTATAACGCTTCATTTGAGGCCAGTTGGGGTTCTCCTCTCCCTTTATCCTCTGTCTTCTCCCTTTATCCTCTGTCTTGTTGATGAGGAGCGAGGGCCCTCCAGTGAGTGGGAGTCCTGACTCGCCTTCTGTCTCACAAATTCCTTTTTCTTTCCATCCAGCAAGTGATCGCTATATCTTCCCACAGAATCAAGGAGAAGGACTAATAATGTAAATTGCAGTGTTCTAGAAAATCTTGAATGGCCTATGGACTTCTTTTCGAAATTAAATATTTCTGGGTTTTTTTTTCCTCCAGATAAAGGTTGTCCAAGGTTGGAAGCTGAAGTCCAATAAAATTGCCCAAAATATTACTGGACTTCAGCTTCCAACCTTGGACAAC